TGCCCCCCTTTCTCGCCTCTCCGCGCATGCAATGACGTACACACACACACATCCAATGGTCCTGGTAGTGCCTCAAACTCAGAAGAATAATGCAGTATTGGATGTTACACCCAAGCACTCGGCCTCGCCCCTTCCCCCTTCCGACCGACGATAAAAATCGTTTGCAATTTGCATTTTGCTGTTCACAAAACTCAAGCAAACAGGAACATGTGTTGGTTTGTTTTTTTACGGTTGTTTTAAAGGGGAACTACAGGAGAACCACTCATTTTGCGGGGGTCTCCTTATTTTGAGACATGGGTATGGGTCAGAATTAAACCACCAGGGCACTGCAGGTTTTAGTCCTTGGTTCCATTTGCCAGGGCAACCCATTGTGGGTACCTGTTTTTGACCCACAGCAATGTGAAATCACAAACGTCCAAAAGGGTTGGGGATGCTACAGGAACCACTAAACATCCGCTGGATATGAACGTGTTGGACTATCCATGTATTGGTGGAGCCGGGTATAGCTCTCCTTGGAACCCGTTTCGAATCGATTCGCACTGGAGGCTGCTGAGTGCAGCCACGGTAGGCAGGGAAAGCTGTGGCTGGCTGCCGCGCGGTTGGCACGACCCTCCGTTGTTCCCTGAAAACCCGGGGGCCTTTTGGGGAAATAGGCCAACCCACCTTTTCTTTGGTGCATGTTGCTTGGATCTTAGGACTTTAGCTTTTTGCCAGCGAATGGGTTTTCCATTAAACCACTAAAAGTTGAACTTTTAGCAGGGGAGCAGAAAGCAACCGAGTGTTGAGGGACTGAACCCGTGGGTTGGCCCAAAGGGCTTTGGGGAATTTGAATGCATTTGTTTGTCAGTTTGAGCGTGCACATGTCTAGTAATGAGGTTTGAGCTGCGAATGAGGCATTCTGTGAATGCTTACTTGTGACTTTTGATGGCCTGCGATTGTGGGATTTTCGCATGTAGTTAGGCGACAACAATCGTTGTGGACTTGGCACAGCACCTTCTGATCCAATAAAATAGGGTCCCTGTTGCCTGTTATTCCTGCAAGTTTAACATGGTGTATGGTCGGTTGCCTATTGCAATGTTGACTTCAGATCAATCCAGAGGACCCTAGTCAGAGGACCCCTCTATAGATCATTCCCCTAAAAAGGAGCCCCCCCTGAAAATTGTACAGTCCGGATGAATCTGATGTCAACATGTGGAAGCACATGGAAACAATCGTGTCCTACTGTGGATGGACGGAAATCCATTTCGCACCACCTTTCAGAAACCCTGGCTTCTGATTCGATTGCCACCCACCATGGGGATGCACGAAATCCATTTCGCACCACGAAATGAAGGGATGGTGAAAGCCATGAGGGGATCCCAGGCAACCCCTCATGCAAAACCCTTCGCCATTCTCCTTTTGGTCTTCATCTCGGGTGGCAAGCCCTTGGATGCACATGGGTCAGTTTGTTTTTCTTCTTTGCGGCTATTTGTTGGTGGGTTTTGGTTGAGACACCAAAAAGATCTTTTGCCCATTTCGGAGGCTCCGAATCATTAAGAAGAGAAGAACACACCAGGAAGGTCCATTCTTGGTGGGTTCTAAAGGGCCGGTTTGCCCCATGTTGGAGGCTCCGAATCCCAGAAGAACGAGAAGAACACACCTGGAAACGTCCACACGGCAGGTGCCCACCTGGCGATCTGTGGACGGCTCCGCGGCCGGCCGCGCGTACGCGCGGCGCGGCGCGCCGCCGGCGGCGCTGAGCCGCCGCGGGCCTCGGAGCCGCAGTGGGCCTTCGGCGGGCGGGTGCCTTTGGCCGGCGGTTTTTGGGAGGGGGGGTGGGGGTAGCGGGTGGCGCCATTCGCAAAATGGGTCGCCGCCGTCTTTTTTCTTTGGGGGGAAGCTTGTTTGTGGTGGTTTCACAGTTTTGCCATTTTGGGCCGAACCCAAACCGCGAAATGAGCCAACTTGGAGTAAGGATGCTCAATCGGGAAGCTGCCGGAAGACCAATGAGGTTGCAGAGAATCAGAGGGCGCCTTGTTTAGCTTCAAGAGGGTGACCTGAGAGAGGGAATATCTTGTAGCTGGCTTGAGGTACCGGACTGCAGATGTGACTTCAACTTTGGCAGTTAGTGGTGTTTCTTTGATAGGCTCACGGAGTATGCTGCCTTTGTGCTATCCCTACAGTGAGCCTTGGCGTGCTGTAGCCATCAGGTTCAAGTAGATCTGCAAATCTTGACCCTGCTTGGAGTATTCAAGGATAAGTCACACGACCTGGCTCGAAGAATCAGAGTCTGCACATATCTAGGACTGTTTCAGCGGTTGATTTGTGTAAACCCGCTGCTAGCACGCCTTGGAACATGCGTCGACTGACCAGAAGCTGTGACTTAATTGGGGTCCAATATGCGCGAATGTGATCTGCAGACTGGAGAGCAGGATCCGGTCCGTAGATCCTAAACATGACCGGCATAAAAGTCGTGTTGCTTCACTCAGGTGAGCCACACTCAAACCCGGGTAAGCGAAGTTCATCTGAAGGTTAGTAAGGGATGATCCCAGCCATACATAGGTGCGGCCGCCTTCTTAGTTCTTTACATGGTTCTGTGTCGACCATTTTTGTACCGGGTTTTGATTGGTAACTCAGGTAAACCGGTTTCCGAAAAACATCCGCGTTGCTTCCCTCCACCCGGAAGTTGACTCGCCCTCGTGGTGCCGGACTGATTGCGGCCGACCGAGGTGTGGTTTCGACCAGCCTTGGTGCAGACACCCGAACCCTCGCCGCCGGAGGCCATTGATGTTTCCTGCGCGGCCTCCTTTGTTGGGTGAGCTTTCCGAGAACCAAAGCGAAGAGGACCCTGTTTCGGAGCTTCTTGTCGGACCGACCTCGCACCAAGACCTGTAAGTCTGGCAATCCTTGGCTGGTTTGGTCTCTGCGCAGCATTGCCACCATGAGTTCAAAAGGAACATGGCCCTGAGTTCAAAAAGGGCCCCCTCAACCCGTGGCTAGGGCCCCAGCGCCCTCAGAATCCCCTCAAGTACCGATCCGGCAAACTGGCGAACCCACGCCTGGCGAACTGGCGGTCCGGAGGCAAAAGCAAATATCGTGTTTTTTTTTGAGTCAAGAGGGAGACCATCATGTTTTTTGGGGTCCCCCAAAGAGACACCAAAATCCAGGTTGTCAATCCTTCCATGGTGTCTGTCGACATGTCCAGGGTCCTTCCTTCGGATGTCAGGTCACGTTCCTCTCCCTCTTCGGCTGGTCCCTGGGCGGCGTGGTTTGCCTCGAGTGCCCAGATGGCGTGCGGTTGCAATGAGGTCCAAGAGGGAAGCCCACCCAATCCAGCCTGGCTTTCCTTTGCAACCTCAAAGGGACCCTCACAAAATCAATCCCCCAAAAAGGACGGAAGGTATCAGAACCTTCATAGCAGCAAGTCCGGCAACGATTTCCTATACCTGGCCACCTTAGAAGAAACCCCAGCTAGGGCATCGCTAAGTTGGGCTCCTTCCTGGGGCACACCTCAGTGGCGAGTCACACGAGTCTCGTAGCTTGGTGCTCTGCAGGTATGACGAATCGCCATGCGGGCCATACAGAGAGGCACGGAGACTGGGAGATGGTTGGGGTGTGTTGGGATTCTTTGCCCCTGGACACCGCAAAGTGGACAGGTGTTGCCTGGGAGAGACCCAACCCTTTCATGTGATTCACTGGGAAGAATGAATGGATGGACAGGCTGATACGGGTGGAGAAAAATAACATGCAGTTGAAGGGTAAGTCTGGAGAATCGACATATCCGAACCCCAAGCAGCCATTGGCAGGTGGTAGACATGGGCGCACTGGTCCTGCGCAACGGCGCCGTGGGACAGCCCGCAACTCAGAATGGGTCCGCTGACAATGCCACAGGTTGGGGGTGGGGATTGTATTCAAGGCAGCCCCTTTGCGAGGAGGGATCCAAAAGCCGTTGCCATTTATGGGGATCCCTCACTTTAGGAAACACACACATTTGAGGGCATTCCGTTTGGAGGCTGAGCCAGGTTGCCAAAGCAGGTCCTTGTGGTGCCACTTTACAACAGAGCCGGGGTTTCCATGTCTCACAACTCCCATTGAGGGCCTACAAGGGCAAATGCTTACCCTGCTGAAAACAGAGGAGATTTCGCCGCAAATGAAAAAGCGGGCGTGTTACGATCCAGGACTCAAGTCCTTAAGATTGCATTTTGCCTCCTATCAACCATTCCCATGTGCCATCTTCCAATTCCAGTTCTGGTCGGATGATACCCAAATCGAATAATCTCCACTTTCCAAATTGTCATTGGCCATGTCAAACAACTTATGTTTTACTTTCAACCCCACGTGCATTGACCCCATACCCCCTCCGGCCCAAAACAGAAAGGGAACAAAGCAAAGTTTTCCTTTGGGTTTCCCTTTAGCACCACAAGAAGGAGTACCCCCCCCCCCCCCAAAACACAGCAAAGAACACAGAAACACGAGGACACAGCCTTTTTTTTCCATTTTCACCCTCTGGGTGGGATGCCACCCAAAAGACGACGCTCTTCCCGCAGCTATGGCTTTGAGTGGTGAGCCCCGAATTGCGCCCCATGATGAATGCGTTCAGACGTGGGATGTCTCAAAAACAGGGGACGCTCACACGGTGGGTTTCCTTTTGGTTTTCACTTAAAATCCACCGCAAGAGACACCCATGTAGACCTAAATCCCCATGTCAGATGTCCAACAAAGGGGGTCCCAAGTCAACTCATACCCACATGTGGCTTCGTCTTTGGAAGGCCTCATCTTCTAATTTGCGTAAAGTCGCCGTCGGCCAGCATTTCACGGATGGTGCAGGCGAATGCGGTTGAGCTTGACATAGGCGCACATATGCTTAGTCGACGTTCGATTTGTCCCTAAATGAGTTCCACGGCAAACTGGTCACATCTTCCACCGCATGACGCTGGTGTGTCTATAAAGCATCCATTTGTACCTATTTCTCAATTTGATCTAGGGTCACAAACCACAAGCAGCCAGTCGCAACTTGGTTGGATGTACAGCACAGCCGGTCGGACATGGCATTGCATGCGCCATGACTGCAGCCCGGGACCCAGCCCGGTGCTTCAACGGAGTCATGATCGGCTACCATGGAACCCAAAACCCAACGCTGTTTGTAGGTTCCATGTTGTCCGCCCCTGATGGAAACAAGTTAATTTTCTGCCAAACACACGGCTTTCTCGAGAATCCCACAAACCATTCGGGTTGTTGGCTCTCATAGTACAGCGGGGCTTCTAGCTTAAACGATCCCTTGGTAAATGTTTCGGGTATGCTTCCCACAGACTTGACGAAGCTGAGGAATCCCCAGGAAAACGAAACTGCTCTTGTCTCGTTTTTGTTTCCTCATAGGCACCCATATTTGTGAGCAACCCTTTCTTCGCTTGCACTACATGACAACCGCATGTCTTGTTGCGATTTGCACCTACCGAGTCATCATGTTCTTTGATGCGGCCGGTGGCAAGATGAAGCATGGCCAGCCTTTTTTTTTGGGCCTTCCCCCGGACATGTGGCGCCTTCGGCGGTCCGGGAAAAACGGGCCCATCACCCAGCTGTCCTGTGTCTGAGCCGTCGCGGGCCTAAAACGCCTGAGGCTGAGGCGAGTGCTCTCAAGGAGGATCGCTTCTACACCTCCGCCCCTCGCATGCGGGCCAAAGCACAGAGGTGTTCAGAGCCCTTTGCCGTCCCGTTAGGTTTTCAGCTTTCTAGTTGGTTTAGTGGTGGTTTCCATTTAACTCGCAAAAAGTTGCCGACTATTAGCAGAGGATCCGAAGACGGACTGCCAACTTTCATCTATCCAAGGTTCCTCGTGGCACCCCGTTCTAAAGCATGAACCGCCAATCTTATGATGACGCTGAAAGTTCCAGCTGATTCGCGGCGCGCTTCTTTTTCTTCCCAGACCAAAAGAGAGCCAAACCAAGCCGGCGTTGAAGCAGAGGATGTCTTGGCGCGGCTGGAGCCCTTGCCCGACTTCTTGCAGAAGAAGGAGCAGTGGCTGGCCGCTGCCGTCGCCCAGCTCGCCCTGCGCGGCTGCGGCCGCGAGGAGAGCGGGCGCTCTGCGCTCGCTCGCTCGGGTTTGTGGGCCCCCGTCTTGGTTGTTGCCGCATTTGAGAAGAGATACACCTCTATGCCCCCAAAAGGGGACATCAAATTTATGGTTTCCATTGTTGGGTGAGGTTCCTGCTTTTAGGTTGGCGAGAAACGCAGCCTGGTCACCCAATCACATATTTTGAGCCACAAATCCATCGTGCAAAGAAGGCACACGACTGAACGATGTTCAGTTTGAGTGTTATTGGCGGGTTGAGTCAAGATCTTGTTGAACAGGATACCGCATAAAGCAACACACAATCGGAGAATTCTGAAGAGTTCTGGCTGTTGTGACAATGACCGCCAAAAGAGAAGGTGGGAAGGTTTCAACAGTCGACATTCTTTCAGGGATGCATCTCCGAGAGATCCACGATCAGTTTCAATCAATGCAATGGTTTTGACAACGATTCAAGTCTGGTCAGAAGCGCCAGCCATTCTTGAAGGCCCACACCCATTGGTGGAATGCCCAACATGTCTGTCTCGCCCTGGCAAAACATGTGATACGCAGCACATGAGTCTTGGTGGCAACCAGGGTGTCTTCCAAAACTGGGAAGTCCATCGTCCTCCTTTCCAATTGAGGGCCTGAAGGACCTGTATTCGGGTGGAATAGGGGCTGAAACCCTGTAAAACGAAGGCGACCCTTAGAAACGAAGCCTCAAGAGAGATTCCATTTTTGCACCGTTTAACTTTGGAGAAAGCTCGATTGGTTGACGGCTCATGGCAGGTCAACCTTCATCCATTTGGGTCTGTTTGCTTTTGAGGGTACCCTTGCTTTTGTGGTTCTAAAGGGAAACAAAAAGGAATAACAGCCTTTTGGGCAGTCCGAATCCTAAAAAAGAGCGCCCCCATTGCGGGCACCCATGTCCACCAAGCAAAATGGGCAGCGTCCGTCTGGTTTTCGTCTACACCAGCCCAAAAAGAGTAACCTTCAAAAAGACACCCAAATAGATGTATTTCCTTGTGGCTTCTTTTTGAAACCGCAAAAAGCCACCAAAACAAGGACACCCTTCGAGAAGAGCGTTCCTCTGCGCCTTTAGGGCTTGCGCCTGTAGCTTCCGTAGATTTCACCCCAGCAGATAAAGAAGAATACGACCAAGAAGAGTAATAATAAGAAGAACAATACCATTAAGAAGCAGGAGAAGAAGAAGAAGCAGAAGAAGAAGAAGAAAAAGGAGGAGAAGCAGAACAACAACAATAATAAGAAGAAGATAAATGAGAAGCAAATGCTGAATAATAAAAAGGAAAACCATACGATTAAGAAGCAAACGATGAACACGAAGAAGAAGAAGAACAATAAGAAACAGAAACAGAAACAGAAACAGAAACAGAAACAGAAACAGAAACAGAAGAATAATAAACATACTAATAACACTAATAAGAGTAGTAAGATGCATAATAAGCATCATAATAGGATTACAAACCAGAATAACAAGATTAAACATGAGAATAATACTAGCAAGAAGCAGAAGAAGACGCATAGAAAGAGACATAAGAAACATAAGAAGAAGACAAATAATAATGATAACAAAGAAAAAGAAGCGGAAGAAGAAGAAGAACAGCACCAAGAAGGAGAGGCAGAACAAGAAGAACAAGCAGAAGAAGAAGACATAAAAAAGAGAAGAACAATGACAAAATGAAGAAGCGATTATGCACAACAAAAAGGAGACCCGTCAGAATAAGTAGAAACATCTTAAGCAGAAGGTCGCTTGGCCAAGCCGCGAGGAGATCTCGTACCTGGTGAACCTGCCGGAGGAGGTACTCAACGAGGCGCTGGCTTGGGCGTGGTCCTTTTTTTCTTTTTCTGAAACCGCTTTTTGGGTTGGTTTACAGGGAAGATACAGGGAAACTACTCATTTTGGGGCTGCCCTCAAAAGGCAGGCCTGTTTTTAACTCAGTTTCACATTGGTGAACAGTATTCATGCAAACCCCTGTGGTTTTGATGGGGAGTTGTCCCCTTTTGGTGGGGGTTCATATGTTGCCGCTTGCCTGCTGTTCATTTGGGGAGGACGAGGAGTGGGGCCCACCCAACATCCCCCCACACTCCCAACAAAAACACAGGGGCAATACCGAGTCGAAGCAACTGTAAGCAATATCTCTTGGACATTATTTACATGAGCGTGTACGCAGCCACCAACTGTTCTACCCCCATTAAATTCTATAGTGTACGGCTTTGTGCACAAGGTTTCTGCCATGTCGGCGCAGGACAGTGCCTTCCCTTTCATAGAAAAAATAGGCGAACGCTGCCACAGACGGCGGCAGCAAGCTGGGTTTGCCTCGTGTTGACACTTGGATGTTGGAGTTTTGGCAGTCAGGCCTCAACCCAACAAGTAAGAGGTTAATGGACCAAGTCTATGCCTGATTCAAGTATTCACCGCGCAAGTCGTCTCCCAGCAGCAAGACATAGCCTGGAGCCTGCCAGAAAATTGGCAGTATTTGTTGAACTGGGCTGAGCAAAACCCACAGCTCCAGCGAATAGTATCAATGTGTTGTTTTGGTAGCGTGTCCTCTAGGTTTCAAAGGGAAACACTAGGGACATAGCACGTTTTGGCTTGGTGCGTCTGTGTGTGTGTGCCCCCTGTTCCTAAGGGGTCCGTCGCTTTTCTCTTCCTTCCTTCGTTTGTCAACCTTTGGAGTCGGGTGCCACCATCCTGAGCCTCTGCTTAGCCAGTAAGCATCGTAAGCATCACAACGGATGGCACTCCTGATGAGGGCTGTGATATCTGAACGCTTTGCGTGCAAGGGATGCCGAAACTCCATTGCGCAGCTGCAGAAAGCGGAGAGCGATTTCCATCTGTATGACTTCATGTCAGTGTCAGCTTTCAACAGGCAAGGGGGTGTAGTATTGTGCTCTTTGTTTCGTTCGTGTTATTTTGTATGACTCCTGGTGGTCTGACAGCTGACTGTACCCCAAAAAAGTTAGTTGCATTAAAATGACAACTGATGCACTTTGGAAGAAAGACAACTTCCTCGACCTCTTGCCTCTTTGGCTTCTTTCGCGACGTCTTCGGCAACTTCCTGGATAGCGGCTACTTTCACTATACTGGAAACGAGGTCTGGATCGGATGGGTCTCCAATTGGGAGGGTGTTTTGGAGGATGTTTTTGAGAGATTTTGAGTGTTTTTGAGTGTTTTTGAGCTAATAAGTGAATGTTTTTGCGCATGAATGAGTGTTTTGGAGTATAAATGAGTGGTTTTGAGCATAAATTGGTTTTTTCATGGAAGATTAAGAGATTTACATGTGTCCTGGTCGCAACAGGTCTTGCGAGGAAAACGATTTGAAACATGTGTTTTCCATTAACATTAGCAAGCTATACACAGTGTATGACACATCATCTCCGTGGTCTTATTATTGTTTGTTGTTTGTTGTGTGTTGGGTTCTGCTTGCAGTTTGCTGTTTGTTGTTGGGGATTGTGGTTGCATTTGCTTGTTGATTGTGGTTTGTTGCTTGCTGTTGTCTGAGGGCTTCTTGCTTGTTGGTTGGTGTTGTTGTTGTTTGTTGATTGCTGCTGAATGTTGTTGGTTATTGGCTGCTGTTGCGATTACTGTGTTGCTGGCTGTTGGGTGCTGGATGTTTGTTGGTAGTTGGTTGTTGGCTGTTGGTTGGTGGTTGGTGGTTGGGTGCTGTTGGCTGTTGGTCGGTGATTGTTGCTTGTTGGTGGCTGTTGGTGGCTGTTGGCTGGCTGCGAGTGGTTGCCACTTCTTCTTGTATTGCCACCTCTTTGGCTTCTTCCTGACCATCCTGTACAGCGACCTCTTCGGCTACTTCCTACCGCGACCTCTTCGGCCACTTTCTGGACGGCACGGAATTTCTCTGGTTACTTCCTGACCTTCGCGCGCGGCAACTTCTTCAACTGCTTCCTGGGCATCTTGTATTGCGACCGCTCTGGCTACTTCCTGGGCTTCTTTTACAGCGACCCTCTTCGGCGACTTCCTCGACCTCTTGCACTGCGACCTCTTTGGCTTCTTTTGCGACGACTTCGGCAACTTCCTGGCAGCTACTTCCTGAACTGTGCGTACTGCGACTTCTTGAACTACTTCCTGGGCATCTTGTATTGCGGACCGTCTTCGAGCGAGTCCAACTGAGCAGCATGAAGCCGTAGACACTGAGAGGAAAAGGCTAAAAGCCATCACGCGGAATGATGAGGCGCTCCTTCTGGTTCTTTTTTCTTCTTCTTTTTGTTGGTTGTTTTTTCTCTTCTTCTTTTTATTCTTCTTTTCTTTTCCTTTCCTTTCATTTCTGCTTCTGGCTTCGGTTGCCCTGTGTGTTCCCCCTTCGGTGTGTGTGTGTGTGTGCGTGCCCCTTCCTCTCTTCCTTCCTTCTTTTGTCAACCTTTGGAGTCGGGTGCCACCATCCTGAGCCTCTGCTTAGCCAGTAAGCATCGTAAGCATCACAACGGATGGCACTCCTGATGAGGGCTGTGATATCTGAACGCTTTGCATGCAAGGGATGCCGAAACTCCATTGCCTTTTGGTTTGCAGAGTTGGGGTTGCATTTAGAAGCGCAAATTCATTCATGCGCAGTGTCGCAGAACATGAGCCTGCTAAACACGGCGCCGCTATTTGGCAAACTTGCTAGCAGCCCTCAGCTCTAATTTGTACTTGTTTTGGGAAAACACATTCAGACGTAATCACACGCGATGCGTAGACGTAATAAGCAAGATTGAGAAACTAAGATAAACTTGTTTTCCCCAGGAAGATCCACTAAAGTGTGTCCAGAGTTCACTGAGTGAACACTCCGATGTGTTTTTGGTTTGGCTTTGGATTTGAACCCCTGGTGCTTGTGGATAAATGCGGTTTTCTTCCCAACCTCTCCACAGCTCCAAACCGATTCGGCTCCAACAATGACCCTCCAATCCAATCACGGAATCTGGCTTTCCTAAGGGCTTTGGATTCGACGGTCTTTTTTGGGAACCTCCAAGTCCGGTCCGCTTCCGTCATTGCAAGCTAGGGGTTTCTCACGACCTCCACAGCTCCCGAGTCTCACGAAGCAGGACTTGGAGGGTCAGGAGGGCACCTGCCTTCTGGACCTCGACTTCCTGCCAATAGGCCGGCGGCCGAATCGAAGCCAATTCGGGTGGCAGGTGCCAAGTTGGGTGGCTCGTGGTTTTGTAGAGTTACCCCCTTTTCGGATGGTTTGTTAAGGGGTGATTCCTAAAAGAAGGAGATGGCACCCACTTGTTGCTGGATGAGTCCATACCTGGCAAATTTGGGAGAATGTTATTTTCTTCAGGGCACCCAATTTCCCAGATTGATTCCACACCTTTGTCAATCCAACTTGTTGCGCTGGGAACCACAAGGTAGATCAGTGATTTCGTTTGGTTTCCTTTGGCTTCCTTTGATTTCCATGGATTTCCTTTGGTTTCCATTGATTTCCTTTGTTTTTTTTGGTTTCCTTTGGTTTCCTCTGGTTTCCATTGATCTCCTTTGGTTTCCTTTGGTTTCCTTTGGTTTCCATTAATTTCCTTTAGGTTCCATTGATTTATGTTGGTTTCCTTGGATTTCCTTTTTTGGTTTCCTTTGGTTTCCTTTTACCAAGAAGCAACATATGGGAGTGTCTCACAATGAAGGAGCCCTAAGAATAGTGGTTTTCTTTTTGGTCTCCCCTTGGCAACAACCCAAAAAAGGGTGCCCCCGTACATCGATCTCTATATAGATATATATCTCGTTTTTTGAACTGTTGCTTGGAGCATTCTTTGGTTGGAATTAAAGGACCACCAAAACAAAACAACTATTTGCAGCGCTCCCCTGAAAGAACACATCGCTTGTGCAAATCGTCTTCCGAACTTTGCTTTTCAGGTTCCATGTGGCTAGGAGGCTCCGGGAGAAAAAATCGCCGGAAGGTGCAGGGTGCCTGATTCAGGGCTCGGTGAGCGCCGCGCATCTCAACGGGCTGAGCTGCTGCTTGCTGCGGCCATTGCGAGAGACCCACGCCCTGGTGGCCGCAGAGGTGGGGCTTGACCAGGGCCTGGCCGCAGGATTTTCCCATGATCAAGGTCACCCCCTAAGTGGTGGGTTAAAGGGACACAACCCCATTTTCTGACTTTGATCATCCTCAGAAACCGTCAAACTAATCACCCCAGAGGGAGGGAGGACTGAGATCAAGGTGTTTTTTTTGGCGCCGATTGGAAGTGCTTGCAATGGAGTCAACGGCTGGGGGAAAGGGGCTGATGCAAATTTGCAGCCTCTGCTCCTGCAGTGGGTTCCTCAACAAGTTTAGAGCCATTGCGGACAGTTCACGTGCATTCCGTGCGGGCAGTTTTGAAGCTTCCGGGGCATGGCGTCATGTGCATCAAATCCAAAGGCGACTGCGGAGAACCCATTTGCTGGAGGATGGGTGGTAGCAAGAAGCTGGGAGCAGGGGGGTTGCTGCAGCATGATAAGACATCATGCGTTCATGTCAAGTCCTTCCTTTTTCAGTCCAGCTCTAAAAAGTAATTTCGAGCGAGAGCTAGCTGCAAACTTGCAGGCTTGTGACGTAGTGGAAACTGGAGGGGTAGCGTTCAAGCAGAGTTGCACAACAGTAAAAGGGGCTTGTAGCAAAAACGGGGATCCGTCAGCGAAATTTGCTACATCCTCAATGCGCCCATGGTGTCGCAGTTTGACTCATCTCCGGTCATGAGATTTGTCGGATGACGTGAGTCGGCCAGAGGTGGGTGGATGGTTCCAGCAAGTTGTATTTACCTCGTCGGCAAAGCTACCTTCCCTACCCAAACTCCGCACGAAACTGTTGGCATTTTCTTCATGGCCATCGTGATGTACAGGCCATTGAGGGCTGTGGGGTAATGTTTAGTCATGCATGATATTTAATGGGAAACCACCAAATTGTTTGGACATGAATCCGAGCCTAAATGATGTGTGCAGGGTGCCCAATTCAAGTTCAGTTTGTGCCCAGGGCACAGACTTGGGAGAGGGTACAGGCTCCTTGGCCGCAGATGCATCCAAATCTGAGCTCATGGAGCGGTTTTTAGTCAGACCTCGGCATGCATACAGCAAGGAGACTTGTTTCCAGTTGGCGAAATGTCAGGAATGGAAGTCCGTCAAGGTGCCAGTCATCAAGTGCCATCCCGAAAATTGACATTACGCTGGCAACCCCCCACCCAACACCTTCAAGATCAGCGGTTTAAAGCGATTCGTTTTCCCAGGCGTGGCTTTGCTTGTTAGTTCGGGCACCCCAAAAGTGGTTGGTTTCTTTTTACTTCACCTGCCAACATGGGCACCCCATTTTTGAGGGGCCACTGGCAGCTTGATTGCTCATGCCATCCACACAAAATATGGTTGTGTCCTTTTTGAGGCTACCACCTTTTGTGGTCTTAAAGGGGAACCAAAGGACACCACCCTTTTTGGGTGGGCAAGACAAAGAAGCCAGCCACCCATATAGATGAGCGCTGCCAGTGAGTCATCGCTGCTAGCCACGTGCCACTCTTTGAGTTTGGGGCTAAGGGCGAGGACTCTTTGCCACAGGCTAACAAGGCACCGCATCTAAAACGGCACCATTCCCACGCAAATGACATGCGCGCGATGAGAGAAAAACATGTCAAGTTTAGTTTAGTTGTCCATGCCTGTGAACATTTCATCTCTTCATCATCGAAGAACATTTAGCTTCACACAGATACATATTTGTATAGACATTCTCTGCATACCGGCACGAGCCCACTTACGCGTGTCATTCTCCCGGTCTTGAGATGGGTTTCCCAACACATTCAGCTGCCATTCAAGGCAAGAAAAAGCCCGTCATTCCAAAGGGTCTTCTGGGGAAGACGGTTGAATGAACCGCCGCTGCCCGCTTTTCCCGTTGAGACCTTAGGCAACGTCTTGATCGGCCGATCCGATCGCACTCAAGGCGTCCCGGTGCTTCTGGCCCGCAAGAACCTGATCTTCCAGAAGAAAGCGGCCACGTTTTCGCCGGAGGCACGAGCTCGGTCGGCCGCATAGTTGAGCCATGGGAAGCCATAATCCCCGCGTGCGTTCACAGGTGATCCTGGAGCAGCCCGTTTTCACGACTTTGAGGGCCAACATGCCAGTTGCTCTTGTTTGGTTTGGTTTTGCGTAACACTGGCTGGACAAGCAACGCCTTGATCGGATGGAGGGGACAATGAGTACTGTTTCTGTTGATAAACTTTCGATACAAGCTTACCTCAACCAGGCTTTTCTGCAGATACACCACCCTGCTCCAGGTCCCCCAAAAAGCGCGACAATCAGAAGGCCCCCATGAGAAACTGGTGCATATCGGACTAGCCCCTCATGACCCCGAAAATGGACTTTATCCTCCAAAGTATTAAGAGGAGTCTTTTGAGGTTCCCTGTTGTTTCATTGCATGGCATGGGCGTTTTGAGCCTTCTCTCATTCACGGTTTGCAGGAGGAGGTCCCGGATCCTGCACAGCTGCTTGGTGCTACGGCGCTGCCCGAGGACTTGTGCAACGAGGAGGCCGGGGTGATGTTCCAGATGTCCTTTTCCTTCGCTTTTGAAGATCTTCTCCTGAACCGAGCACCCACCTTAATCCTTTAAGCCTCTTTCTCGAGAAAGAGAAAGACGTAACTCCGAGGCAGACCGAGACACAGTCACTGTCTTGCTATGTCGCGCCTGCAGGAAGGATCCTGTGGTATATTTGACTTTAAGCTGTCGCACTATTTTGCACATTTGCCCCTCTACTGGAATCATGGTGCAGTATGTTGCGGAGGGCCAAGCCAAGCTGGTAGGTGGGATTCTCCATATGTCCTCTTTTGCGCCAAGCACAACTCTTTCGGTGGCCGCTTTTCAGCGAGATTGTGTTGTTTGCTCGATCTACCGTGGGAAGCCTATGGCTGAGAGCTGATCACTTCCGACGCGGTAGATTTGGAACAGTTCCAAACCAATTCCAGCTAGCACAAAGTGAAAACCGGGGTCCCCCAAGAGGAGATTCCTCTATGGGTTTTGTTAGGGGAGCAATGAACCTGGCTCTTGGGGAGTGTTCCGAACCCCTAGTGACAAGGGTTCTGTGGTCCTTGATCCTTTCGAGACACGCCGGACCCTCCATTGGAGAGGCTTGGATTCGCATTGGAAGGGTTTGGGCCTCATTGTAAGACAACCATTTTGCCAAGATTCTCACGCTTTGGTTCGGTTAAAGGGGTGCACCTGTTAGAAGGGCTAAACAGTTTACCCCTTTGGGTTAACCACCAACCCCTTTGCTTAAAAACCAACTCTAAAAACCAACCCTACCAGGTTCAAAAGCAAACCCTTGGCTTAAAAAACCACCCCCTTTGCGTAAAATCCAACCCCTTTGCGTAAATCCAACCCCATTGCTTAAAAACCAACCCCTTTTTGCTTAAAAACCAACTCCTTTTTGCTTAAAAACCAACTCCCTTTGGTTCAAAACCAACCCCTTTGCTTAAAAACCGCTTTGGTTAAAAACCAACCCGCTTTGGTTAAAACCAACCCCCTTCACCTAACAACCAACCCCTTTGCTTAAAAACCAACTCTAAAAACCAACCCTACCAGGTTCAAAAGCAAACCCTTGGCTTAAAAAACCACCCCCTTTGGTTCAAAACCAACCCCTTTGGTTAAAAACCAATCCCTTTGGTTAAAAACCAACCCCTTTGGTTAAAAGCCAACCCCCTTTGCATCAAAACCAACCCGCTTTGCTTAAAAACCAACCCGCTTTGGTTAAAAACCAACCCGCTTTGGTTAAAAACCAACCCCCTTCACCTAAAAACCAACCCTTGCTTAAAAACCAACCCCTTTTGCTAAAAAACCAACCCCCTTTGGTACCCCTTTGGTTCAAGACCAACCCCTTTGGTTCAAAACGCACCTGTTTGGGTAAGAACCAACTTTCTTTGCTTAAAAACCAACCTGTTTTGCTTAAAAACCAACCCCCTTTGGTTCAAAACCCCCTTTGGTTAAAAACCAACCCCTTTGGTTAAAAGCCAACCCCCTTTGCTTCAAAGCCAACCCCCTTTGCTTCAAAACCAACCCCTTTGCGTAAATCCAACCCCTTTGCTTAAAAGCCAACCCCCTTTGGTTCAAAACCAACCCCAACCCCTTTGGCTAACATCCAACCCCTTTGGTTAAAAACCAACCCCTTTGGTTAAAACCCAACCCTACCAGGTTAATCTGTCAGCCCACAGAAAGCGCCAGCCGGCGGCTGTCCGCTCCTAGGCGCGGCGCTGGCTGGGCGGCCTGGTGGGACGCCTGTTGCTGAGATCTTGCGGCCGGGAGGCGCGCGACCAAGTTCCCACTAAAGGAAGGACATCATTTTGGGGATTCTCCTATTTAAGCCACACCCACACACAACACACATATGTGCATACAACGTCTCTCGACATGGAAACACTTTTTGCGACTTTGCGCTTCGGCTGTTGGATATGCAAATGTCGTGATTCGTGTGAAGCGACGGAACGCTGAAGCAGATTGAAGACCAGTTTGTTTCAGGGTTCATGATTCCACAATGCATATGAGTCCTTGATTGGATTCCTTGTGCACTTCAGTGGGCAGGTATTGCACCGAGCCAGTGTGAGTTTGCTCATACGTGAATCCCTGCAAAAGAGCGGCATTCTTTCCCAGCGAGCGTCCAGACTGCATTTTCTGCGCAAATTCAGACGAGCTGCCGTGCCTTGTGCTTTCCACGCTGGCGCCCTTGGAATCGGGCTGTTCACGCCCCCCCAGCTCTCCTTCCGTGGGTCCTTTGTGTCGCAGAGGATGCGGCAAATCCCCAAGGCCGACCTGGCTGGAATCCAGGGGCAGCGGGATGTGTGATTACTGCCTTTTGAAACGCAAGCTTGGCGAACTCCCTTGCTGAACAGCTGAAGCTTGAAATGCATAGGCCCAAGATTCGAGATAGGAGGCTCGCTTGAGAACAGTTGGTTTCGGTTTCGCCGGATTCTCGCAGGAAATTGGTTTCTTGCTCTCCTTGCCCAGCAGGGGCAAGGACCGGGGTGCGGGGTACTAGCAGGCATGTGGTTTACATGAGTCTAGGGGAACCAAAAGGAACCTGACTTAGTTTAGGGAACACCCGATCGAATAGTCTAGCACCCTCTCACGGGGATTCACGGCCTGTGTTGAAGGTTCATTTGATTAGGAGCCCTTGTTTTGGATGGGCGAACTGTTAAAGACCACGCAGCTAGGCATGACTTGCACCTTGCAATCAGTCGCGTGGCATCGTCCAGCGCCTGTTGCTCAAAGCTGGTCAAAAGGGAATCATGGATGCGCATCCATTTTCGAGGTCACCCCCTTTCGGGGGGATGGTTTTTAGGAGAATACAACAAAGAAGACCATGTACCTCTAGCTTCCAACCCCTGGGATGTTTCTGAAGCACCCCAACTTTGACGATGGTCTGCATAGGACAATCCATTTCGGCTTTGGTTTGCCCATCTGAACACCTCATGTGACTTCCTCTTGCCAGGAAGTCTCCTTTGGAGCCCCGGCGTTGCCCTCGTCAGTGGCGGCAGAGCACTTGGGCATGATGTTGCAGGACAGAGCTCTCCCATCATGGATACACAGGAGCATGGTCCCCTGAAAAGGAACACGGGCTTCAAGCTTGAAGCCCTCAGGTTCTATGTTTGCTTCTCGGAAACCCACTTGAAGGTGCCTCTCTTTTTGTTTGCGTGGGGCCAACATGGGACTCCAGTGACAACTAGATCGGGGCCTCGCCTGACGCGCTCTTTATTTAGCACTGGTCTTCCCTTCACCCCGAATCCAGGCTGGGCGGGCTAGTTTCTTGTTTGCCAACTATGGCTCAAGAGCTCATGTACGTTTCCACTCAGCTTCCCTACGTGAAACAGATTATCCACCAATGCTTGAGACGGACCCCTTGCCAGGGAAACTAACCGGAAGTTTGAACAATGTCATGAAGCAAGGTTCCCAGCAGTGAGCATTTCGTGTTTGTCCTTTGCGGACGATATGGATCCTGAAGGATAGGTCTGTCTTGGAAGCAATCTAATACCCACTACTTCAGGAAAAGAGGCGCCTGTTTTCGACTCCAGGCGCTGTTTTCGTTTGGTTTCCCCAACACCCCCCCCACACAAAAAATATGCAAGAAACGCAAGTGTATATTTGTATACATACAAACATATATATATATATACAGAGCTGACAAAAACATTTTAAAGTATATGTATTATGATACAGGGATATATACACTATAAAAGGACCAGCTGGGAAAGCCCAACAAGTGGCCCTTTTTGCGGGCCCCAAACCGCTACAAGGACCTGGCCTTCTGCCCTGTGGGCGCGATGGTGCGAGTGGAGGGCTCCAAGAGCATGGAACGCCTCAACGGGCTGCAAGGCCAGGCGTTTTTTGGGTTCGACGTTAAACGATTGCGCTGGATCCTTTGGTTTTGTTAGGGCAAGGTCCATTTGCTGAAATGAATATTCCCGAGTCCCCCCTCTCAGAGAGAAAACACGGAGTTTCCGGAGACTACTGCGTGGGGGGTCCAGGTTTGTTTAGGTTCCCTGGTGTTGAAGGATATTATCGCTACTGGACATATTGTCACATTTTTTCCAGGGGGCTTAAGCAAATGGAAGTAAAGTGGGTTAGAAAGGGGGGTTTGTTTTCTTAGGCTCCTTGCCCGATTTCGGAACGGAGACATCTACCAAAACACGAGTTGGACCCTGCAAGACGGTATATAGGCTTCTCTTGGTTTCTCTTCATGAACCTATCAAAGGCTGCCCCCCTCCAAAAAAGGCAATCTACGTGGTCTGAGCCAAGTCTGGGTTTGGCGGCCCCCGGTTCCGGGAGGGGGAGGGATCCCTCGCCCTGTACTCGGTGCCTCCGATCTGCTTGCGGCGCACGTGAGACCCAATGAAAACCTGGAAGGTTAGTAAATGGCAGTTTCAGCCATGGGTGTGGATCTCCGCCCTTTGAGCTCTTTTTTTCCCTAGATTTCGGATACGCATTTTAAGACCCGCTGTTGACTCCTGACTCCCGCGGTTTTGGGACTGAACCCCCTCGGCGGGTTTGGGAGAGCCAGGCGCTCTATCCGAGTCCTGCCCCAGCTACGCGACCCACGCCAAGCTGAGTCTTCCAGGCCGATCCGGAAGTTTCGCCCACGATGTGAACGCTGCGGTTTCTATGACAGTTTCACATGACATGTCACAATATATATATATATATGTATTTAAATATGTCTTTCTTTGAGGGTCGCCGTTTTTGGTGGTTTTAGAGCGAAACCAACAGGCTCCTCAAAAACGGACAGACCCAGAGTGCTCTGTGTGTTCTGTGATCTTCTTCAAAGGACCCCTGGTTCCCATCGTCAGCAAAATCCGATTCTCAGGGGCAAAGCCCGAGGAACCCATTCAGAAGGGCGTTACAGCAAGCCAGTCCGAACGGAAAAGAGAAAATACGAGCGCATTGGTAAATTGCCTCCCTGATGACACTGCACAATCTTTGAAGACACAAATTAAATTGAACTCATAACCGAACCCGGGTCACCATTTGATCGGTGCTACCCCGGCAGCCCTCACACAATGCGAATTTGGAGGACTTGCGGCAATCTGCTGGTTTTGCTGAACGCGTCAATCCAAGATCCCGGACAACCTACAAGGGAAGGACCGATTCCAAGTGGGATAACCTGGATGTCTTCGTGGGCATTGCTTCGAAAAGGCACCGGCACTTGCACTTGGCTTCGGCAGAAGCTGGACCCCTTTAAGACGATGCCCGGCCCCGCCAAATTGCGACTCAAGGTGCTCGAGCCCGGACGAAGCCCTTGCAAGTTCTGCAGGATCAGGTTCAACCCTTTGACTGTTGACGAGGGAGCTGCCTTTTCCAGCTTGTACACTCGGGGGCGGGGTACCTTTCAACAGACATTGCCGGGTCAAACAGGGGTGTGTTTTTTTGGGGGTCCCCTGTTTTGGTTGGTTTTGCAGTGAACCCCTCGCATGCTCGGCAGGTGAAGGCGAAATCCTGCGACTCAGCTCAAGAGAGGGAGGGAGGAGGGTCCCGCCCTCAAAGCAAAGTAGTGAGTTGTATAAAGGGGGATGCGCCCTGAACAACTACCTAATTGCGGGGTAACCTGCTTTAGTGGACTCACAGATGGGTCAACTCCTGAGTATCAATATGTGAGGCTTCCACATTTCCAGCCTGTGGTGCATTTGGGAGGGACATTGGGGGGTGCTCATGAGTTGAGAAACGGCAACCTTTATTGTGCGGCATCGTTTCAGTCCCCTTCGCAAGGGCAAGTGGGAGGGCTATCACGAGTTGTCGGTCGTTTCGTTTTGCGGACCATTGCTTTGCAGGAGACCAGCTTCACAGCCAATGAATTGGGCTATTGGCCAGCCCGCGGACTTTTGCACAGCCGAGTTGATTCGATGAACTTGAGTTCTCGGCCACGACGACTTTCACAGGATGCCTGACTAAGCAAGGTGGCGGTCTTGAGATCCAAAGTACATTGCATTGCTGGGTGCTACCCTCCCTCCCTCCCACGTTGCCATGGAACCTGATTGGAAGTCCAGGATGAAAAAGTGGACCTCCTGAAAGGTTGCATGTTGCTTGGAAGGAGGGCAAGTATGCTTTTTCTTTTCTCCGTCAAGCACGCCACAATTCACAAGACACATGTTTTCCGATTCTCCAGATGACCCATGCAGTTGCCCTTTTGTCTCTGCCCCGACTCTTTGCGGTGCGACGGACATCTCCGCCTGTTTGAACCCAGGATCACTTTGTTACACACAGCGAGCCTGCCTGTGAAAGGCTCTCCATTTGGTTTCAACAAGAACAGGGGCTCAAATCCCTAACACCACCAATACGTGGTTGGGTCCCTCACCGGCTGGGTCCCTATTTCTCGCAGGATCCACCGGAAGAACCTGCGGCTGGTGGCCTATGGGGGCCTGAAAACTGTGCTGAAGGAGCCGCGAACCGCGGCCCCAGGCGCGGTTCGTTGCATTGGCGCGGGGTGTGCTGGGCTTGGGGGCGAGGGGAGGCCGGAGGACAAGATGTTTTGGGATGTTTGGAGAAGGGAAATTGAAGAATCGTTTTTTTGCTTAAAGTATGTCCGTTGAGCCTCAAGAATGAAAGCTGGATTCTAGGTAGCTTGTTTTCTGGTAACAAAGTGGTCAATGGCCCTGATGCCGCTTTTTACAGCACCGATTCACGGCCTCTGTTTGCATTGACTCAATGCCCGAGTTCTCGTTTCGAATTGAGCCAAGGGAAGAGCTGATCACGATCACGATCAAAGTTTGCGCTTTAGATGCGCCAAGTCCATATCCCAGTGCAGCACGTCCCTACGTATTCGTTTCCAAAAGCCAATGCGTCTCCTGAAGTTTTGGACAGGCCCGGGATGCGCGTGGTTTTCCTGTTGCTCAGCATCCTTTGCGCAGAAGCAGAGCATCAAGGCGAGCTCGAGCGAACCGATCGGTTAACAGATCCGGTTTTGTCTATGGCAAATTTGTTGGGTACAGCCCACACAAACCACTTTATCTTACCCGGGCATAGCACTTGAATATGGCAGAATTCGGAATGGTTTCGTTCAGGTTCAGAACGGACCTGAAGCTACACTCATGATTTCGTGTCTTCAACCCGCTGAGGTTGGGTGTGCGTTGTGAATGATAAAAGGGTCATCGTTCTGCGATCAAGTGGGGCTCTTGAGCAAGCGGTTTGTTTGCAGGTTTCAAGCAGATCCTTGCAGGGTATATTTGAACATGTCGCTGTTGGCCTTCGTCGAGTTTGGTGGCTCACAATTCTCAGCCCTGACAATTGCGCTGGGAATGGTTCATGCTTCTCGTGCCTTTCGGTCCTGCCAGCATCCAGGACTTGGCTCCAAGAAACGCTGCAGCAATCCCCCACTGTTGCTTAAACAATCTCTTCGGGGCAAAAAACACGGGCACGGCCTAGCCACTCATGGGAAAAGCTCAGCCCAAACCCAACCTGGATGCCTTGAGTCACCCAGCCAGCCCGGCAAGTCATCCAGCTCAAAGCCGCACGTGAACTTGCCTTCAAAACTAGGGAGGATTATGAGTTTTGTCCATGTCAATGTACTTGCTGGTGCTCAGTCTCAGCAGGGAATGAAGGAATGACTCCTGTGAAGCATCCCCATTTTTCCTTGAAGGGGACGCCTGGGGTCATTCCCTACACCTGGGTCATTTTGTACTGAGCACCATCAAGTTAAAGTAAACGCATTCGCTCAGCAGTCTTCATTCATTTCTGGGGTGATGAGTCGTTGACGGGTCTTTGACAACACTTGTTGGCTTGGCAAGGGGAGAAGAATGCTGGGCAAATACGAAGGGAGGATGTTCTTGCTACCTCACCAAGGAAGTGTGTTTTCAATAGGGACACTTCAGTTGGTGAATCATCATAAGAATTCCTAGCTGTGCGTCCCCTCTTCTTAAGAGGGTATGGCAGAAACGTGGTTGCAATCCTGCTTGCTGCCCATGATAGTCACCCTGAATTCAAAAAATGATGAACTTGTGCTGTTTGATTCTGTGAGTCAGCACCTGTTACCGGGCTGCGCACCGTCCCCGTCGCTGACCAAGCACTCTGGCTTTGTTTAAGCAACATTTGCCAGCAGGCGCCAGCGTCCCTGGCAGCCGCTTGGCACAGCGCGGATTGGGGAATCCTTGAATTCTACAATACTCCCATACTGTAAAATTTGAGGAAGCGGTCGACGAGAAAGAAGACACAAGACAGTACTTGTTTGACACGATTTGTTTTGCTCGCATTGCGTTGGGTTTTGACATGAGATATTGAAGCACAGTTGTTACAGTTTCCTGCATTTGGGCTTACAGAGTCTGTGGCATTTCAGATTGCCAAGGGGAAGTTATTGCAAGTTAGGATGCTAAATATCCATTGGGCTCGTTTCTTTTTTCTTTTGCAGGCACGAAAACTGGGGGTGTGCACCAGATCGCAGTAGACCTACGTTATCTTGAAAATCCGTTGTGCGCCCACTGCGAAGCGCTATGTTGCTGCTGTGTGTTTTCCAGCACTACTCCAGATTTCTCACGAGCAATGCGTCTGCTTGAAGTCAGCCAGCACGACTCAAGCTTTTCGTTGTGGTTCCAACATCCATGCGGGATTGAGAAGGAACTCTATGCAATGAATACAGGGTGCGTGACATTTGTTATGTATACCATGGGTTATCCTTGCTGTTGCTCAGAAGCGAATGACCCAGGGTTTGGGAATAAACCAGAAGGGGATTCCCTTAAAGGAAGCCATAAGGGATGGGTGTTTTTAGGGGTCATCCCATTTCTCATTCCCTGCCTATTAACAAGCAAGTTGTTTGTGCCCCTGGCCCCCTGCCTCTCCCAGGACGATCTCCGGCACTTGGCCGAGCTGAAAACTGCCGGCGCACTGAGCGACGGAGAGTTTCAAGCTGCAAAGCGCAAGCTTTTGTCCTAGCACCTAGCACCTCGCAGGTTCGTCCTTAAGTGATAGACATGTGGCAGGACGGCCCTCGAGGAAATCGGGGCCCTTGCTGCGAAGCAGCACGGGCCGTCTGAATGGGAAATAGTGTGTCTGCTCCCGAGTTTACCTTCGGATCATTAAAATGCAAGCGACCTCAGGGTGTTTCTCAAACAAGATGGGCGTCGAACCACATGCAGTGAGAGACTCCAGGTAAGTACTTCTCTTGTATGCTTCAACTGGAATGGGCTGAGTCCCTTAACCGTTATCCCCTTTCCCGTACATCGTTAGGGCCAGCAGGCCTCCCCCTTTTTCCGGCAAACATTTCCTGAGTGTCCAGGGCACATCTGAGCTCCCGAACGAAGTTTGCCTTTAGGAAGACGTGCCAGAAATAGCTTGAGTGTTTAAGCGTGTCTTCTCCCTCTCTTTTTTTTTCGGGGGGGGGACTGTAGTGAGGGCCTACGTCAAGCTCGAAGAATCAAAGATCCAGAGGTTTGGAGCAATCAACATGGTGCTAGCGGGGGTTGTTCGAAATCCCCTCTATCAGAACGGGGCCAGAGTCTTTCCCAGAGTGGCTTGTGATACCGCGTAGTGGTCACGACCAGCGGGGACTCTGAAATGTTTCCCATTTCCTGAGATATTGGACAATACCATTTTTGGGAAGACCATTTTAGTGGTAAATGCTAAGTTTTAACTTGTTTTGGCTAATCCACTCAGGAAGTGAGTTTATTCTGGTTCCGACTGGCAAGTCTTCTTGGAAGACCTGCTACAGCTGAATCTGCCTCCGATTCTTAGTTCATGGATAGTACATATGCACATGCATGACATGCGTAAGTACATTTTGCATGTCTCTGTGGATACACGCGCTCACACGCCTGCAAGATCTGCAATGTAAGAAATCAGGCAGAAGCGGGGTACCTTGAAAACAAGCTAATTCATGATCATATGGGATATTTCCAGTTGGATTTGCTACTGACTCTATCTGCAAGAAGGTGACCCCCATTTGGAGAAACACCCACAGCAGGGGGCAATGCGAGTGAAATTTGTTGGCCCCTAGGTCGGCTTCTTGTCTTAGGTGGGGGTCTCGACTCTGCGTCTCCAGCAAAGAGGCGTGGATGCCGAATCGTTTGGGCTTGTCTTCTGCAGTTTCAAAAGGGGGACGGCTTCCCGATGTAAACGACTCCAGCGCTCTTCCCCTAAAACGGGAGCATTTTTAAGGTGCCACACCAATGGATAGACGTCATCTTCACACAACTTCCTTGCGGAATGCTAACATTCGGGACCCCAAAGAAATGTTGATTTTCTTTGAGTGTCCCTTGAAGCCACTGCTAGCTGCACCTATTTATTTGTTACAGACACACTGGCATGTGCAAAATACAGGGGGCCTGCCAAATTGTTGTCGTTTGGTTTCCCAGCCCACATGGGTGTGTCTTTTTTGAGGCTACCCCTTTCTTGTTTCAAAGGGACATTCAAAAGAAAAGGAACACCATTTTTTTGCGCCTTTTTCTGGGAAACCCAGTCCGACTCCATCAAAAAAACTGGGCCACCTCTCCCCGCCGCCCACCCTCGGAGCATCGCCTGTGGCGTGTCGCTGGGAGGCGGAGCAGATCTGCCGGGAGATTTGGCAGGTCCCCGCGGAGCAGCGGCAGATCACCTTCGCGGGCGGGGCATCCGTCGATGGATCGTGGGGAGGGTGGGAGGGGGAGGATCCATCGATCGATCATGGGGGGTGGGGAGGGGGAGGGTGGGGGAAAAATAGTAAAAGGAGAATTCAAGGAATTCTACTTTTACTATTTTTTCTCCATCAGCAACACAACAAACAGAAAACACAATCCAGAACAACAAGCAAACAAAATAAATAATCACAACCAGCAACAAAAATATTTAATCACAGCATACAACATTAAATAATTCAAACAAGCATACCAACAAAACAGCAAAAATAAAAACCATCAAAGAACACAAACTCAAACACACACATCAACAAAAAACAAAGCAACATACCAACAAAAAATATCAGAAGAGTATCAAACAAAATAAAAACAAACAGCCAAAGCACGAAAAAATCAAAAGAGCATACCAAGTTCAAACAACGCACTTTGAAAGAGTCAAGCAAATTAGGAAAAATAAAATATTTCAATCTTTACAAACCATAAGTACAGTATAATTATAACATATAAATTTTACATGTTATTATTATAGTATGATTATAATTTCAGTACAGGATAATAATTTAATTGACAAATCTTACTTCTTTCATACATCATTTTAAAAATAATATTAATATCTCTCAATGTATTTTGAATATTAAACTTTTTACTTTCAATAAATAATTTGATACTTTCTTTAACATCTTCTCCTTTCTCTTGACTATATCCCAACATCCATAATATATCGTAAATCATTTCATATTTTTCTTACTGATTTTAAGAAACTGTTTAACATAATCATAAGGTGGTATTTTATTTACAGTTAGAAATATTAAAATCTCATCTTCTACATTTCTATTATGTCTTCCTTTTATTCTCAACAAACATTTGATTAAAAATTGATTATCTCTCCATTCCTGACAATTTTCACATTCGTCTTTTTCATCCATTGAATAATTAATAATATTATTCACTGTTTCATTAGGTAAATTTAATTTATACAATTCCATATTTTCTTTTTTGAAGTGACAACAATCATAGCATTTTTTATTGATATAATTATTGATTTTATCACCGTTCATTTTCCTCTTATTATATTAAGGCACTATTTCTTTAAGTCATTTTTAAGGCATTAAGAAAAATAAGAAACTAACCATAAGTTTAGTATAATTATAACATATAATATTTTACATGTTATTATTATATTATGATTATAATGTCAGTTCAGGATAATAATTTAATTGACAAATCTTTCTTCTTTCATACATCATTTTAAAAATAATATTGATATCTTTCACTGTATTTTGAACATTAAACTTTTTAATCGCCATTGGTAAGATTAAGAAGCAAGGCGGTGCATCCAACAACATGGAGCCGTGAAAGTCTCACCTTTTCCAATGCCTGATGCTGTGCTTGCTTGTGCTCACGGTCTCAGTTGAAACAGCACCAGAATTAGCATGCTCCCATGCGCATATGAGCATACCACCATGCGCATATGAGCATACCGCCATGAGCATATGAGCATACCACCATGAGCATATGAGCATACCACCATGAGCATATGAGCATACCACAAAGAGCAAGCGAGCATTTTGAACGTGGGTTTGTAGGTTTCCCTTCAAATACTCATGAAAATATCACTAATGAGGTTTTGGGGTATTCGGTAAAGGTCTTCCTGTCTGTGTTTGATGTAGTTGTCCCCCCACTGTTCCTTGGTTCCACTGGGTAGTCTTTGAGCTGTTTCAATATGTTTCCCATTCCTAACATTCCCACAATCCTTTTTACATAAATCTCTAGGTTTCCAAGTTGTAATGTTATTCCATAGCCTAGTGCGTTTTCTGTAAGGCATTCCATATTTACAATAATCTACATCTTTAAAATCAAACTCATCCATAAACTCCTGATTTTTTAATAATCCAGTTTGAGGATTTTCGATTACAAAATATTTAGGATTAAAATATTTAATAATTTCAATAGTTTTTAAAACTATACTATTAGCATATTCAATGTTTCTTATTCCCCTAGTTTTTGCTACACTATATTCAGTGCATGGGGGACTACTCCAAATAAAATCAAAATGGTTCCTATCAAATTGTTTATAATCCCATTTCAAAATATCAGTATTTATATCAGCATTTTTCAAATCCAATGAAATAACATTGAAACCGAGCGACTTTGCAACAAGTCCAACACTGCCTGTTCCGCTAAACATCTCTAATAAGTTCATAATTAAAGATATTTAGATAATATTATCTATGAATAAAAATCCCTGTTTCCTCGTTAAAAACTAAACTATGTTTAGTTTTCAATGAGTAAATGCAACTTTATGAATAAAGTTGCGTTTCCTCGTCGTAGTCAATTTGATAAAATGCCATAGTGGAGGACTTCGGCTCTTTTATCTCTTTGTTGTTGAGTTTGTTTAAATACGTTTGTTTCTTATTTTTATATTCACCATTGGTTCTATCTACTTCTTTACTTTGATAACTGTTTGTTAAAGGTTTCTTCTTTTCCATTTCTTGCAAGATTTCTAAAATATTCTTATTCTGTTCTAAAACCTTGTTCAGTTTTTTAACAATCTTTTCTAATCCTTCATCCATGTAAATATATATATTATATTATAAAATAAAACTTTTAAAACTAAACTTTTATTTTACAAAATCATATATCATTATAAGTCAATTCAAAATTAGTTATTGTGTAACTCGTTAAATTATTATTCAATTTACCAATTAAATTACAAATAATAGTTTTTCTAAATTTTGAATATTTATGAAACTTTTCAATATTATCTGTAATATAAATTATTAAACATTTAATACATTCAAACACATTAACAACATTAATGTTACTATTTTTGTAAATATTATTCATTTTTCTCAATGTAATTTCATAAAACTGAATAGCATTTTTATTATCATAATTAGCAATAAATCTTAAAGTATATGAATATATTCTTTTACAATAGAATTTTAAATCTGATTGTTCAAATAAATCAGCATAATTAATAGAATTATAAAACATGTTAAAATCAATTTTGCTATTTCTAAAGTCATTAACAAAATTAATTAATATATCATTTTCATTATATTCTTCAATAAAATTATTCAATTTCAATTCTTTTACATCAATGAATTTAATAATATTATTTATAACATCTTGCATTATAAATAATAATAGAAATAATTTTAACTATTATTTTTTCATCATTTCGCGTATAGTTTCCTGAGTTTCCTTATCACAATTATCGGATGGTGAGGCATGCCGTCCCCATTTGATAGCAATATTATGAACATCTGTTTCTAAGTTTATACTGTCTTTAGTTTTATCAATATTCATTTTCTTATCATTTTTACTAATTTTGAAACTGGTTGGAATACACGAACATTTACAGTTTCCTTTCT